AACTACCAATAATGTGATCATCGTTGAGGTGGATAGCATGAGCTGGCTGGATGTTGAAATATCGATATGCTGCTTCCACTTCACGTCGGCTGTTGAAGCCTTGGGAGCCGAGCATTGCGACCTGCATTTGCAGCTCTTCGCTCTTGCGCCCATTGGCAAGGTCTTGGAGACACTCGTAATAGTAGGATCGATTCTCCACGTCAACTGAAGTTTGACGAGCAAACGAAAACAGTATCAGCTCGTCAGAAAAGTCTCCAATAGCACCAAGGCTGGCATAATAGCTACTGTCACGTTAGCCAAGTGCGACGGATGTAGCGAACGACTTACGGGTGATCTTCCTCGTGATTGGTGTTCCGTGTCTCAATACGGCCCTTGACTTTGTCATCTGTGCATGTGTCAGCCTGAGCCGCAACGCTGATAGAAGGCACCTACAGTCGTGGCAGGCAAGGGCCCTCTCAATATGCATGCGTGATGGGCTGGGGTATATTGCTTTGTGCCGTGCTCCAACACGCTCATTTTCGGGAATGCCAAGAATAATGGTATTCAGCTCATAGCGAGTGTCCTCGATTGTGTTGCGCAGCGTGGATTGAAGGACATCGTTTGTTACTCCAGGCCGTGGAAGGTTCCACACTTGGCTAGCTGGGTCACCGTCCTCTTCCCATTCAGAGGTGAACCCGAGACGCGTCAAAATGGAGTCGCAGTCACTGCCAAATGTCTTGAGGAACTTTTTGTTCAGTAGTGGAATACGAGCCTTGCCCTGAACCGGGTTGAGCGAGTCTTGGAGGTAGGTGTTGAGAAAGTCGGGGCCGTCAACTCGCCGGGCCATTGTGTTATCAGCGCGCTCGCCACCTTTCTGCTTCGCTGCCTCCCATCTCCGCCGCAACTGTGCTTGGTTGGTCAAGGTCTCGATGTCTTGGTCGGAGAGGCGGGGTGGCTTCATGTGAACACGCGCCTTGACGGGACATTGTGGCGCTGAGCAGCAGAAGATGTACGATCGCGGAGCGAGTTGGTTTCCAAGCCCGAAAGTAGCGTTCCCCTCGGGTTCTTCCTCGTAAACAAAATGGTGCAAGAAGTACTCGGTATCGCCCTTCTTACAGGTTCTGCTATATGTGCTGCCATTTCGGAAGTCTACCACGACGTCTATGTGCCAACGACACTGCGAACAGTACGAGGCAACTTTGTACACGGTCGACTGGGTGGGCTCTTCTTGCGGCGATGGCAACAGAGACTGCTCATCTTTGGTCACGAGGGCGTGTCTGCAGTTTCGGTGGGGTACAGCAGCTGCGGGGGGTCTACTTGGGTCGTGTTGCGGCGGCGCCGAGGTGAGCAGGTTCCGGCCAGCTCGCTCTTCGTAGCGGGCATCATATGTGAGGAGGTCCTGGAGCAGCCGCGGCGCTGTCTTGCCTGTGCAGCGCCGTGGTTAGCGGAGTGCGTCGACCAAGCTTGTGGGAAGTGTACCAGGAGCCATGGCCGCTGTGCACGCGACGGTGGAGACTCGAGTGAAGGGGGTGTGTCTGGAGCTGTACGGTGGCGCAGAGTGTCGAGTGGTATGCAACTCAGACACGGGGGGGCGTGGTGGAGGCCAAATGGGCAGACTGCGACGGCAAGTGTCTAACAGGGCATTGTAGGCGGCAACCAGTGACGGAGAGCTCTTGCCATGCGCAGAATCACGGTCGGTCACGGGTTTGCCTAGGCAGGCTGCTTGTCTGTAGCAGCGATGGTGTATAGAAGTCGACTCGCATAGTCGGTACACACAGCACCCGCGTATATGTAGCAAAGCTTGTCGTCTACTTTGCGCCGACACAGACAAGCAGCAGCTGCGCGAGGTTGCGGCCGATGATGCACGTCGCACCTTTTCGGTTTAGCGCGGTTCTGCTCGCCAAGCCGGAGACAACCTCACTGCCCATCGTCGACATCTATCTGAGAGCTCGTTGAAGACTACATACGCCAATTGCGCCCGCCCGCCATGGCCGACCAGACCCCCTCCTACCACCCAGTGGATGCGCTCGCCAACACCGCGAGTTCCACCCTCCAGACGACGGCCGTTGGTGCCGTCATTGCTGGTGTCCAGAACACCCTCCGCAAGCAGAATGTCGGCGTCATGGGCATCGTCACGCGGTCCGGCGGCATAATTGCTCTGTTTGGTGCGTTGGAGAACATACTACAGTGTAGGACACGGCATGGCTGATTGATGGTTTAGCTGGTGTTGGAGCAACATACCAATTCACAAAAGACGCCTCCGCCAACTTGCGCCAGAAGGACGACTGCTACAACGAGTTCCTGGCTGGCTTCTTAGGAGGATGCGGCATGGGAGTCTACAGTACGTGCATTGGAGTTTTTCCTTGAACGGTTCTAATTGTGGATAGGGCGAAGCCTTCCGTTCATGCTCGGAGCTGGAGCTGCCACTGCCACCGTCATGACCGCATTCCGATACACCAGTGGTTTGAGGGGGTATGAAGATGCGAACTTGGATGACGAAGAGGTCGAGCGAAGAGAAGCTGCAAAGAAGGCACGCAGGCGACCGCTTTCCGAGACAATTGAGCAACTGGGAGAAGGACGAGGTGAGCACGCATGGCCTGGAACGAGGGATCGCAGCTAACAATGGCAGGCATCTATGCTCCTGGCTACGAAGAGAGGAGGCGCCAGCGCTTGATGGACAGGTATGGTATCGATGTCAAGGCCGCGCAAGAGGCGAGCTAGATGTACCCGGCACTTTTCCTAACTGTTTGAAACCTCGGCGCCTTGCACTGATGCGAGCACCAACCTAAGTCGTGTACATATATCCCTAAACATGGTCTCGGTTTCTTCAACCTGCTCATTCTGGGCTGACCACACGTTATAGTGCATATATTTATCTGATATGCACTCATGTATTGCAATCCTCGTTGAATTCCAGAGACAAAGAAAACATTTGGGAGTTGAAAAATTCGTAGCGTGGAATCCATTGCGATGATTGTGCTTAACACAGGCGTGATACCGCGTCCATGATATATTGCGGGGTAGCTTTGGCAAACACCATCATCTTCCCGTTGCGCATCTTGTGACACTAATTGTGTGTGCCTGACGGCTACATATATCTCATTTCGTCTCGCTAGTCAAACGAGGTGGTTTTGCAGTCTGGCTCTTTCAATTAGGCACGATGCGACTTTTGACAATCGTCGGCGCGCCCTCTTCCTCTGCCTCTCTATTTGCCCCACCCACTCGACCAAGTGATAACCAACAAGTCTTGGTTTGCGCGACTTCTTAATTCGTCCAGCCTATTTAGTTTGCTTTCCCCGCCATTTAAATCCGGAGAAGCCCGCCCGTCGCGCATTATGGCGAACTCTCTAGCGCAGGGAGAGCTAGGGCTGAAAGAGGGCTTCTACCGCGATTTCCAGCTTCAAGTGGCAGGTAAGTTCTTGTTCTGGACATCGGTCGTATACTAAACTAATGAGAAAGAACTTCAAGAGCAAATCGATAAGCTCAATGTCACCTCGGCTGGCAGCGAACGCATTGAGGCGATAGACGATTGCCTGGCAGGCATAGATCGATTGTCTTATGAGGTCAAGGACGCATCAACGTATATCCCGGCATACGATCAGCGATCGTACAGTCAGGTAAAGCGCAGTCTTACGCCAGATAGTGATATGGTCTGCTGACATCAACAGACCATCAAAGCACTTTCTGAAAAGCTTCAGACTACGCGCAACTCCTTCGGACCACCAAAGAAGTTTTCGTTTAAGTCACGTAGGAATGCTCCTGTCACTCCAGTACCGAGCTCTGGGGAGCAAAGTCAGGAGGCGAAGCCAGCGCATTCTGACGCGACGACTAACGATGCATCAACTGTGTCGAGCATGCCAGAAAAGGGTCAAGATGAGGATGTTGTGTCAGACGGTATACAAGATGGTCCTGGTGTGCGAAGACCATCGCTCTCGACTGCATCGAAAATCATCATAACAAATCACACGCATCTTCACGTCAGGTTGCCTGCAGAAGCAGCACACGCCACAAGCTCTGGCACAGTATCGAATTTGCAACACTGCGTTGTCGATCTCGCAGCCCCAACCACCAGCGCGCCATTCTCCGCTCTCTATCTCAAAAACATCAAAAACTCGGTTATCATTTGTGGTCAGACAGCAGGCGCAGTGCACATTACAGATGTAGACAACAGCGTCCTCGTGCTTTCATGTCGTCAATTTCGCATGCATGGATCGAAGAAAGTGGACGTGTATCTGCACTCGGCGAGCCGCCCAATCATCGAAGACTGCGAAGGAGTGCGGTTTGCGCCGATGCCGCAAGCGCTTGCTACGCCGGCCATGGCTCAAGTTGCGAATCGCTGGGATCACATCGACGACTTCAAGTGGTTGAAGGCTGAGGCGAGTCCGAATTTCAGTCTGCTGGAAGAGGCTCAGCGTGTCGAGGATGGGGTGTGGAGGGACAAGGTGGTAGGAAGCGAGGACCGCGAGGATGTATTGAGAGTGCTTGGTGTTGAGCAATTTTAGAAGTAATAGTTAACATGATGACGGGAGAAGTCGGGTCGAACGTACAGATGCTGCGCTGTGTTCTATGAGGATGTTCGCGTGTAGCCAGCATCAGCGTCTCCAACCAATCAGAAGAAGCATACCACAAACATTGCTTTTCATAACAATATGTTCCCGCGAGAGCTACAACTGTGTCAAGTATTCGGTGAGAAGAAGAGACTCGCGTATCCCCAAAGTGTTGTGTTTCGAGTGCCCTGCGTCGTCCACAACCAAGTCATCCCCACCTCCCCAGCACCACAAATGCCAGCGGTCGAGCAGCCCCCACCCAGCACCTCTGTATCTATTTATCCGGTCGACCCGAAGGCCGGCCAATACCGCCCACTTGTTCCACCCCGCTAGTCATCTCCCGTCGCTTGCGTTTCGTCAATCTGCGGCCACCACGCCTCAGCTGTCAACTCTGTTGCTGGGTCTATATTATCCTACTAAATTGTCTCTCTTCCATCAAAGAAACACCATCCGCTTATATTATATAAGCGCTCATCTTCGATGGTCTAGTGGTCATGATTTCCGCTTGTCAAGCCTTTGGTTAACAAGCGCGGGAGAGTAAGTTGACCACTCGCACCACACAAGCGAAGATGCTAATACATCACAGCCGGGGTTCGATTCCCCGTCGGAGAGTTCATTGCAATACGCTTCTTTTTTTTGCTGTTCGGATAAAATGGCGGGTCATGGTTGGCTCAGGGGGTGGGGAGAATGTACCAAGCGCCTAGCCGCCACATTTTTGCGACAAAGAACATCATAGTCGGGACAACTCAAGGTACGGCTGTGGTAAATAGAAACTAGCAAGGGATATTATCTCATAATGCATGTTGTCTTATAGCTAAATATGCAATGATGGTATGTGTTTTTGTTAACACCACACAATGTCTTCTGAAATGAAGCCCTTCACCTACAAACCAGTTGATATCTAGTCGTCCCGTACACCTTATGGTCAACTTAGTAGCAATTTTTAGCACCCCAGCATACAGCGCACGACTAGAGGGTTCATCATCACAGCGATAATATGAGGAGAGCGAGATGAATACAGCTAGATAATGGTGGAACATCAATGAACAAGGACTTGTGTTTTTATCTGCAGAGCAAAGAATGACGACCTGAAAAATGCACGTGCTGTAGGGTGGTGACGAGGGTGGTTGCCGTGGTCATGGTGTTGGGCTCTGCCCGCGACGTAACACGCACTGCCAACCACCTCAATCCGCGCCTCGCTCACAGATCTCTACCGACGCTGGCAGAAGACAAAGCAAGGCTGAGTTGAAGAAATGATAGGCGAGTGCTTGATTTGGTCTAATATGTACAGAAAATGTATTCGTCAACGATGATATCCTTCCAACGCACTCAAGAAGATATGCAAAGCACTGACAGCTGCCAAGATAAAAGTCCAAAGTGCACTGTCAGCGCCACGGCATTTCAAGGCTGAAACTCTCGAATTCGAGAGCATAATTCATTGCTTAGTCTCACTAGAAAGATATGGAGGGCAAGCAGGGAAACACCATGGAAACAATTTCGTTTCTGCTTCTCTAACACTCATGGTCACACTTTCATCACGTGATAGCTAATGCTCGATAAACAGAACACTGGTGGTGATCATTCAGGTGTTCTCACTGGCACGTTTTGGTAGGCGTGACGTCAACATGACATTGTTACCAACGAAGGAGAATTGCGCTTCAGTTTCTCGCTCTAAGACCATAGCAGTCTAAGATCATGAAGTTGTGGGAACTAATCGATCACATCCTCCTACATATCAATAGGGGGCACTGCTGCGCTGGTCTGGCGACGGAACTTCCGCATCGACTTGACATCCTCCAAGGTTGAGAGCGGAACAAAAGTAATATGAGCACACGAGAACATGGTAGATATTTGAAAACACACGAGAGACGGAGCTAGAGAAAGGCTCAAACCAGGCATGGGCGCTTGTCATTACCACGGCCAGATCATTGATTTCACTGCTACCGACCTAGTCCATCCAACCTTCGCACGCGATGTGAAGCTATTGCGAACAAAGGAAAATCGACTCAGAGCACTTCATAGGCTTTTTTGGTCGGCACCGAACACCAACCCCAGGCTCTCTAGGAGCGACGCGTGACTTTGACAGCGACGGGCTTTGTCGTCTCAAGGAGCGTTCCAAGTTTCATCTCATGGTCTGTCGTTCGTCAGTATGATGTGCCTCGAGATGAGAGTCTGTGGATTGGTACCGTGATCCCTGACATCCAGCTGGTAAGTCTTGAGAAGTGTAACCAGATACACCTTCGCAGCGATTGTCGCAAATTTATAGCCAACCTAACACTATCAGCACGGTTTTGCCACGCGATAGCCACTCAAGAATTACTTACGCAATTGCGTGGGCCATATCCAAAAGACATAAATGGCTGGTCCTTGCTACGTCCGCCAATGAATCGTTCGGGAACAAAGATGTCCGCATCTTCTCCCCAGAACTCCTTCGCAGTGTGCAGGTGCAGGTAAGAGAGATAGATCAGCATGCCAGGCGCTAGCTTCACAGGTTTTTTGCCGGACGTCAAAGTGGTCTCTTTGTTGATGACACGGAGCGTCGCGTGAACAGTTGGGTGCAGCCTGTTGATCTCCATGATGCAAGCATCGAGATATGGCATCTTTGAGTTCAGTTGAGTAAAGTCTTCGGTGTCGACAGAGTTGATCTCATGCATGAGCTTCGCACGGCGCTCAGGATGCTTGTCAAGCTCAATCAGCGTCCAGACGACGTTCAAACCAATACTGTGGTGACCCCCGAAAAGATTCAGATTCGTGAATTCAGACGCGAACTCAGACAGAGGACCCGTCTTGCCACCGCCAGTTGCAACAGAGAGACTGCGAATGACTTTCATTGGTGCGTCTGGATTGGCGGCCTCGAACGCTTCAAGCTTTGCGATGTTGCCCTCGACAACTTTTGACACACCTTTCCGGAGCTTGGCTTCGGAGCGGGTTGGCTCACCAGGCTTGACGAGGCGCATGAACAGTGCGATGGAATACCAAACTGAAGGCCAAGGTTCACCCGCTAACGTGATAATCTTCTCGGACAAGGCCAATACCTTGCCACCCTTGTGATGATCAGGATTGCCGTAAAGAGTCTCACCCCAAAGCGCAATGGCAAAGTTGTCGGCAGAGTACCGAATATCTTCCACGTCAGCAGATTTATTGGCACCTGTCAAAGCGTTCGCATGAGCCTTAGCGATCCTCTGGATGGTACCGTACTTGGCCTCATTCGCCTTCGTGTTGTTGAACTCGCGAATGAAGACGTTGCGCGGGTGGGTGATCTGGGGGCCAACCTGGTTGAAAAGAGAATTGCCAATCAATCGGCGAAGGGTCCAGAACGGAGACCAATTCATGCGTCCCGGGTCACCCTCCCGAGAGGCTACCTCATCAGGCATTGCATGGACCTCTCGAACCATTGCTGGGTCGTGGCAAGAGACTAGGACATTGCCCACGATGTTGGCGTATGAGATACCCTCGTCACCAGTGGCGATGAGTTTACCAAGTAGAGCGGGCATTCCCTCTCTCAAGTATGTCGGCATGGCACCCAGAAATGGGACACCTTTGAATTCAGGAACACCCGGAAGGACATCGCGAGAAGAGACGGATTTGAAGGTGATAAGACCAAGGACCACTACACAAGGGCGCGATACAAAGTCAGTGCATGTTCCTAGCGAAATCGCAAGGTACTTGAGCATTAGTAGTCACTTACTGCAGAGTGTTAGTTCAATATTATACAATTGGGGAGGATACCTGCAAACTGCCACTCGTGTGGTGCTTGGGAGGCAACCACACCTAGGGAAAGTTTGCAATTGGTACTGCGGCCTTACCTGAGTAGCCCGACGACAGCGCTCACCATGATGGAAGGACCAACATCTGCTGGATTCATCTCAGCCATGAAGCCCTGGAAGGCATCAGGCAGCTTGGTTGCCATGCTCGTGAGAGTGGTCATCCTTGTAATGAAACTGGACACAAAATTTTCGAATACGTGAAGTGAAGGAATGTAGATGATGTGGAAGTGGAAGTCCACGGAAGGTTGTAGAAGAGGAAGTGATGTTGTATCGTCTATTTAAACAAAAAGGCGAGGCCGTTCGGCTCACTGGACTCAGACAACTATCTCCACGACCTTGACCTTGGGTCAGATGTCCCATGGCAGACGGCGACCACGCAGTAGAACCCTACTGCCTGTAATCTCTATTATTGGAAGGTGGTTTCAATCAAGAGCATGCAGTCTTACCTGTCTGCCTGGAAGACGCGCAGCACCCGCACGGCACACATTCAAGCCTGTGTCGGTCTAGATCATGTCACTTGGAAGTACCTCAGCGTCTAGTATCTATGTTGGTGGCTGTCTAAGTCAAAGACACGGACTACTCCAAAGCCTGGCCATAGTACTCACAGCCTGCCGGTCTGTTTCCGAATCCCAGCGCTTATGGAGCCCTTTATGGAGTACTCTGTGGAGAAGTGGGAGGCCGAATATACTGAGCACGAACCTGTAAACTCCATCATTCATGCCCGGTCGCTTATCGTCAGAATAAGTTGTCCAAGTAGGTTGGCTGATAGTATAACGACTCAGTAGCACAGTCATTGCGAGGACGAAGCAGAGCCCATGCGGGGACAGTGGCCAGAGTATCGGACACGCCGTACCTCGTATGGCTCATGTGTAGCTTTCTCCTCAGACAAGTTGAGATTGCGGAATCTATGACACACTCGTCGGCCGACGGCAATGTGTGGCTCAGATGATTCACACATTGACCGAGTCACCGCTTGGGATTCGTGGAGGATCACACCCCGACAACTATAAGCCCTCGCTGTTGTGCGGAGCCATAAGAGCTTTGTCACTGCCCGTCCCAGTGCATCATTGGACCCGTTTGCGCCTTATCATGCGCAGGAAGCATGAGATGTAACATGAACGTGCTCTACCGAGCATCCGTGGTGGCACACGCTTGGGAACAATGCTAACACGAGGACTGATACGTAGCGAATTGCAACCCCAATTATTCACAAATCGTACCATACTGAGGATTGGGGTCTATTTGTGCAGGATGCATGCCCCTCATTCTACTACTCAGCAGCCATGACCCTGTATCCGTTGTCTCGGTTGTCATCGTCTACTGAACTGTGGCTGCAATACTTGTTCACGTCAGGGTCTCAGTGGGCTGAGCTTACATGCATCCTTCCTGATCTAGCTTACCGCCTGACCTCGTCAGATATCGAGCACCGTTGATAAAGGAACTCTCGGTTTAAAGCTCCGTTGCATTGGCGCCGGTTGCCGCCCGTCCTGCATCAAGGCGCAGGAACCGGTCGGCGATCACTTCACACAAGCTAACGCTTGTCCTTGCTCTCGGCAATAATCGAGCCGGGAGTGTTTAAGGCCTCACAGTTGATTATACAGCCGGCGACCCGGAAGGCTTGCATTGTCAATCACCTTGCATATTTCGTGTTGGACCACGAATAAGTAATCCGGGGAGACTCAAAGGATCCACCTGCTGATGGAATGACTTGCTTGCAAGAATAGCTGGAACTGTCCCGTGAAACGATTGCACTGCCATATCCAGTAAACAAGGTTGCATGGTATAGTGCATGAGCGGACCTTCTTGGAAACAGGAGAAGCTGCTCCCTCGTCTCGGCTGCGGCAC